GGGGAGAGAGAAAAAAAAGGGGCACCCAAAAAAAAAAAAAAAAAAAAAAAAAAGGACCCACACCCACCCTGCAAACCACCCAGTCATGAATTCACCCCCCCCCCACCTTCCCCCTTTGCCACCTTGTAGTCTCCCATTCAGAGCCAGTTCAGCACCCAGTCTCCACAGCAGCAACAAGCGGCGACTAATTACTGTAAAACATCTCAGATTACTTTTCAACTCACTTCTAGCCGTTGCAACCCCAAGCCTTTAAAAGAAAAGGAGAAAGAAAGGCTGGGAGCAAGCACCGACCAGAGAGAATTCAGTACTTTCTATGCAGTTGGCATCGCAAACCAAAGGAAGGACCCCTGTGGGGAAACTCTATCATGCCAGTTAAAGGAGTAACAATATTTGCCTTATAAATGTCAAGCCCTAAGCTGAGTGTGTACCAACACTTTCAAACAACCTTAACGTCACAGTTTTTAGCATTTGTGTTGAATTATTTTCAGTGTTCTCCATCAATTTGTAGGAATCAACTGAAATATCTGTGTTGGGCGTTTGCAGAGCTCAGTACCCCGATATATACAGATGACTCGTCTTATCCGCTTTATTCCTTCCTCTGTCTTTCTCCAGTCAACCATTTAATTCACCTATTGACAGATCCACCAACTGCGTACACTCAAACAGCCCACACTAGGTTTTTTTTTTTTTTTTCCAATCTGTCTGTCTGTCCAGAAAAAAGGCACCGGTATGCAGAAACATAGATTTATAAAATAAATCTCAGTTTTGGTTTTGATTCCCAGCCTGGGTGACCAGACAATGCGTTTTATATTTTTATATTTTTGCAGACCTCGCTCCCTGCATGTAGCCCTCTCTCCATGTCTGTGTATCAAGTCATGTAATTCATAATCAATACCACTTCCTGTAGTGTAAAGTGCCTGCCATGTTACATGTGAATGGGAAATGTGCTTCAGCGTGTCGATGCTAACGTAGTTTGTTTCAGCCGGACATGGATGCAGAGTCCTGATTTATGTGGTTTGGGTCACATGATCTTATATAGCGCACCACTATTAACATATAATCTCCTACAGCATGCTGCTGCTGCAACAAGAACCAAAAAGTGTGTTCCGATGAATTATTTTCTGAGGCTTGTGTATTTTTGTTGTTGTTTGCAACCAAAAAACGTCTAGTGACGTTTGAGCAAAAACTGCTTCTTTCAACAATTCCTACCTGTTTTTTTTCCAAAGTCGTAAGGTAATTCCCAAATATTAGCTAAAGT